ACGCGATGCCGGGCGGCGGGAGCGCCCGCCGGTGCCGCAGCGCAGCGTTTGGCGTGGGGGGTGCGCCTCAGTTGCAGGCCTGTCCCGGCTTGCACATGCGAGAAACGCCCCTTTTTTTTCCCCACATGTAGGAGCGCAGATGGACTTTTTGGCCTTACCCTGTGTTCAGATGTTATTTTTATATTTTATTTCCATGTTTGCTCTGGAAATGTCAGCAGTTGGAACACAGGTGGGAGAGATCAAACACCTGGGGGCCGCCAGTTGAAGCACCAAGCTTGGAGAAGCATGATAGGGCGAAGAGCTCGTGTGGCATGTGTGAGGCACTGCTGAGATGGGAGACCGGTCACCCCGCTCCTGAGGAAGAGGCATAGAAAATGCCCCGTCTTCTTGCTTTCCTTAAAAAGGAGAGGCACGAAGGGCTGTCAGGGTGCACGCACAGGAACACTGTTTCCAGCCGACCCGATTATGGGCATGTAAGGAGCGATGGTAGCTTTTGACGGGGCAGAGTTAATGGAAAAAAGGAGACAGCTGTGGCACCTGCCTGCCCGAGTTGAACTCTTTGTGCTGACTTTCTTACGGTTTAGTATTGCTTAAAAATGAAGCTCAAGGGGTTTATTTATTTATTTTACACTGTGTGATGGTAATATGCTGCAGTAAATCCTACTAATATAAAGAGACATAAGGTAGAGGTTGACACCTTTTTATGAGAAATTTTCGAAAAGTATTTATTTGGATTAAATTCTGATAGTAATGTTTTGAAAAGGAACAGAATTCCAGAAGCAATTAAATTTACAATTTTAAAAGACCCATAGGCATTTATGGGGGAGAGCTGATTTAGGATGCTCTTGTGGCCTGTGATTCTTACTCTGATCCCTTAAAAAAAAACATTATCTGTCATGGTTTAGCCCCAGTCAGCAATCAAGCACCACACAGCCACTCTCGCCTTCCCCCTCCCCAGTGGGATGGGGGAGAGAATTGGAGGAAAAAAGAGAACTCGTGGATTACGATAAGAACAGTTTAATAATTGAAAATAAATGATATGAAATAATGATACTGCTGTGATCAGTGTCCAGCCAGTCCTCGAGCAGCGATTGTGCCTTCTGGCCAAATCCCCCCACAACTTATATACTGAGCATGATGTTTTATGGCATGAAATGTCCCTTTGGTCAGTTTTGTCAGCTGTCCTGACTGTGTCTCCTCCCAGTTTCTTGTAGAGAAGAAGGTGGGAGAGAGGACAGGGGCAGTATGAGGAACGGACAGTCCTTAGTATAATAAAAACTTTGCTTGGCAACAATGAATACATCAGTATGTTGTCAACATTCTTCTCCAGAAAGTTAGCCTCATACTAGTGCAAAAATTATCGCGGTCAAAACCAGCACAGTATGTTGCCGTTTTTATTTATGTTTTCTTTTGATGGTATGAGAAAACGTTCCTGAGCTACATCTAGGGAGCCTATCTGTAAGAAAAAGCTTAGGAGACTGTTTTTTTAATGAATATGTTTAAAAGAAAAATATGTTAGAGAGAAGATCAGCTAAGGATGGGCCAAGACAATAAGACTTGATGTTTACTTTATTGATAATTATTTTTTCCTGTCTCAGAAAATTTCAGAGTCTGTTGAAATTTCATTAATTAGCCATTTTTAGTTCAAAGATTTGAAGCCGTCACAGTGTTTATTTTGGTGGTAATTGATAAACCATTTTCAGAAATGAGAACTTCATAGAATCACAGAATGGTTTGGGTTGGAAGGGACCTTAAAGATCATCTAGTTCCAACCCCCCTCCCCTGGGCAGGGACACCTTCCACTAAACCAGGTTGCTCAAAGCCTCGTCCAGCCTGGCCTTGAACACTTCCAGGGATGGGACATCCACAGCTTCTCTGGGCAACCTAACTGGGTTAAGAGAACTTAAGTTATTCTGAAAAAAATTGCCATGGATGGACAATAGCTAAAATGATTTTTTGCAACTGGTTTATAAAGCAATAATGCATACATATCATATCTTTAAGGAACATAGTAAATGCATTTAGGGTCACTTGTTAGGAAGGATATAGGCAATAAATGAAGATATTAAGATGAAAAATCAGTAGCATGTGAGTACTAGGCTACTGTACCATGCCATTCCTATTTCACTGCAGTCTCTTTTCATTTCTAAGTTATTTCAAAAGGACACACTTCCATTCTCTCTGTTTTTACTTGTCTAGGAGTTAATTATGGTTTGGATATTAGACAAGGAAATGTGACAAAAGTTGCAGAATAGCTTCTTGAAATTCAGTAGAGGCACCCAGCTGTTTGTCAGCCCATCTCAGCTCTTCCAAAATCTCTGGTGTTTGGAATCTGCCACTGAGCGTGAATGTTTTGTCCACAGGTGATAGGTACCCTTAGGATCAGTATTGTGGTTGCTGAACATAACTTCATATATTAACATAATACATGCTCCTTCACCTAAAACCAGATCTTCTCAGGTGGTCTCCCTTAAGAGTTATAAGGTACTGATTTAGGGATAGATAATGTTTGAGGTTTTTTTCCACAGTGCTTAGTCCAGGAAATCTAATTTGGAAAGCTGCATATTGCTAAAACAGAAACGTAGCTATACTTAAATTATAATTGTGCAGTAGATCCTGGTTTTCAAAATGGCAAAATTGATAGATAGTCATAATATTGATTACGTTTTAATATTGCACTGATTGTTTATCTAATATCGGCGTGTTAGGTAAGTCTCCATTAATTTGGAACATGCTTCCCAGGGCTCTGGATTTACTGTGGGGTAGGGGAAAGCAACAGTTTTATGCTGTGAAAGCCTCATTGTCTAGTTTTTAGTTTGTTAAAAGAGTTACGTTTGAAGAAAATGAGCAGTCATACTGGTGAGCTTTAGATATTTTGGAAACATCATGCAGCAGAATGCTACGTTTTGGCAATTCAAACAGTTCAGTAGTTTCAGATGTTTGGTGCACTGAGAAATGAAACTATTCTTAGCACTGTGGTTCTTCCTGTGTTGTCCTAGATCTTGCCTCACTAGTTTGCACTTAATGTAGTAAGGAGACAAAAATTTATTTTAGTTCTAACCATCCTGGAATAAAATATCACTATTTACATATCTTTTCAGATGTTTACAATGGAACTGTGACCTTTCTGCCTTTGGAGAAAAACAATGAAGGAAAATACCAGATTAAAAAGTGCAATATTTATCAAATTCAACTAACTCACATAAAAGATGAGGAATGGTAAGTGCTGGGAGTGAGGGAAGAAGCAAACCTTGAGTTACTGCAAGGATCACGTCATGTTTTATCATCAGTATCTAGGTGATTTGGTTTGTGTCATTTCCTGCTTGATCAGTAAATGACAGTAGTGGCACGACCTTAGTGCATAGTGTTCAGTTAAAAGTGAAACATCTACAATACCCAAATCAACACAAAACAAATCTCTTTCAACTTCAAATGTATGTATTGATCGTGCATGCGTGTGATCTAGAAAAAGTACGTGTATTCTGATCACAAGGAACTAGATGTGAGAGGTCGGGTTGTGTGGGTGTTAGTAAGGTTGAGGGTCAAACTGGAATGGCTGTTTGGAACCTACTGTGCTTCAGACATCGAAACGTAGACCATTGCAGCTTGGTCCTGAGCATCTGAGGGCATAGCTCTAATGAAATCTAAATAAATTAGAGATGATGAAATAATGAGATGTGCTAACTGATGTATTTTCTTCCTGATGTTTTCATGAATTTAATGAATTCACTTTTACTAATTAGCCATCAGATATATTGCTAAATCAGGTTGTTCTTCACACACAAGTCCTCAGTCATTGTGTTAATGTAGCATGGACAGTGTTTGAATTGGTAGATAGCGTGCAGCCTAACAAAATTTAGGGGAGAATGTTCCGTTATTCAGTAACTTCACTGTTTATTTCCCTTTGGGTTTTGTGTATTACGTATTTCCTTATTCCCTAGTCTATGTGTCAGTTTGGTCTGCTCATTCTTTTCCACTTAATCATTCTTTCCTCTTTTTTTGAGGTAGCTGAGGTAATCAAATGAACTGTATTAATACAAAGGGTTTTATTTTATTTTTAAAGGTCTGTGTCTATTGTAGCTCCATTTCCAGAAGATTGGTTTTCAGATGGAATTGCATACCCCAAACTATCATGGCTTGGAAATGAACTTTTGTCCAAACTGGCTAAATGGTCTGTGGAACAAAAGCCAAGTGAGTTTAAAAGTACACTCTCACTCATTTCTGTAGCAAAATACAGCAAAGTTTATCAAGAGCTTAAAGAAAAATACAAAGCGATGGTAAAGGTAAGTTTGGCAATAAATGCAGTAATAATATGCTTTTCTATAATTGTTTTTGTTGTTGTCTGTTTAATGAAACTGCTTCTTTCACTGATTTTTTTTTTTAATTAAAAGAAGCAGTTTAATTGAAATGTATGTTTTATGTTTTAGTATTTTGGGTTTTTTCTGTGTATGTGGGAAACAAACAGTTTAGTATTTGGAAGAACTGAAGTGGAAAAGCAAGGTTTGGAGCCAAATTCACACTAAATATCTGGAGGAGTTAAATAATTTCCAGAATGCTTCCTTTCAAATAAGAAGTAAGCAGTAGGTCAGTGGATGTAAATACTAAGTCCTCCACACTAGAAGGCATAAACAAAGTACCACCCTCTCCAAAACCTGAAGTCTGGAAACAGCACTACTTTAGTAAGCAGGTTAAATTTCCTATTTCTCTTTTTAAATTTAGGAGCGATATTAATATGTCTGTCTGAGTTAGAGGAGTAATGTTGTAGTATTGTTTTATTCTGGGGATCTGGGAAAATGACAGTGATCATGTTAAGTGCTGTAATACCTGTATCACTTTATACACCAGAATCTAGCTATGAGCAAAAAGATTGGTAAAGGCTTTTGTAAAACATCTTGTGAAAATGTTGAAAGGTTTCACTGTTGATATTTCTGTACAAATAGAAAGAGATATACGAGAGGAAAATTGGACTTGCAGGTAAGGTAATGGTTCAGTCTTTAGTGATGCAGTAGACCTAGTGTGGTGTTGAGCATATTAATTTTTGCTTAAATTCTTCATGTAGAAAATAGGGATAATATTTTTTTTATTTCTGTCTTCCTACTTCAGATTTGGATTCTTTGTGTTCTGTTGTGCAGGAATAATTGTATGCCTGTTACATTACGAAAATAAATCACAAATGCTCATGCTGTCAATGTTGTACATAAGAGGAATAATTTTTCTTCTGAGAGAGTTAAGCAAAAGGATGCATGTTTATTACAGGACAGATGCAGCAGTTTACTTGGGAGCTGCACATACAGAGCCATAATATTCTTGGAAATTGATTGGATGACAGCAGGCATCTTTAAGCCATTATTCTATTGTGTGACTCACAAAATCACAGTTTTTATTTGCATTCTTTGTGTATAATTTTAGTGGAGTTAAAATGCAAAATTTGTGAAGTGCAGTAACCTATTGAAGTGGATGAGTATCCAGAGCACTCTGAGCACTTTTTGAAATAATTTCAGATGGATCAGAATGTTTTTTTTCTCTCTCTTTTTTTCTGAAGGTGTGGCCCGAAGTGACCGATCCTGAGAAATTTGTTTATGAAGATGTTGCCATTGCCACTTATTTGTTGGTAGGAAACTGCTTTGCCTAATAATAATCTATAAGATTCTGTTTTCTAATAATAGAACTGCTCTAAAGAAAATTAGTATTTTTATAGTTGTTGCTTTCTTTAAAATAGAATGATCTGAAGTTATTGCAGGCATACAAGGCAAAAGGAAAGGGGTAGGAGAAAGGGTGTGGATTTTTTGAGTTTGGGGTTGTGGTTTCTTTTGGGTTTTTTTGTTTTTTTTTTTTTTTTAATTTGCTTTTGCTCTCATTTAAGCAGAGAGGCAAAGTTCTTATTACAATGTTTTCAAGCGTAACACAGATTGAAAGTGGAATTCATGCTTGGTGCATTTTTCTAGGGCACCTACCTATTTAAGAATCTATGAAAATTCTGACACCTGCAGACACTAGAAACCTGAGGTTTTTAAACAGGCTCAAAATCTGTTGCTATTTGCCACATCAATATTTTTGACTGCTGTCCAGAGTGCAGCATGTCTACTTTGAAGTATAATGTAGATACCTCTTGGACCTTCCATAAATGAGTTTTTAAATAATTAGCTCATTTACAGAGCTTATTGAGGACTGATTTATTTTGATAATTGACTGTTTAAACTTAGCACCCTCATTTCTTTTCCCATGAAGTTTTTTTTAAATTGTGTGAGGAAGCCTGACGGACCTAGGCTACTCTCAAAAGCTTCATTGTTACATTGGTGTGACAGAACTTTTTACATCAGAGAAATGCTGATGATTAAGTGGTCAGATAGTTTTACTAAATGATCATTGTAGGTCCCTTCCAACTCAACTGTTCTATTCTGTGATATTGGCTTGTGGAAAGAGCTACTTTCCTTCATAATAGACTTACCTTCATCATTTTTAGCACCATGATAATATTATATGTTGAAAGTTAATTCCTCCGTGTTAGGGGTTGTAATAGTTGTAGGCACAGGAAAATTCTGTAATGACACTCTTGAAAATGTTTTGCAAATTTTTATGCACAGGAGTGTTAGTTTACAGTGATAATGTGTTTTAGCTGACAGCAGTAACTTTCAAAAAGTTATTAAAGTCATCTAATAACTGGCTCTTTATATAAATGAAAGCTGAAAGTGTGGTATTAATAACCTGACCTCCTTGCAAAATTTTCAGTTATGTTTATTTGCTTTACTTGCTTTATTATCTTTACTCGCTCTCCGGTTGGAGCGAGTCCAGAGGAGGCCACGAAGATGCTCAGAGGGCTGGAGCACCTTAGCTATGATGAAAGGCTGAGAGAGTTGGGCTTGTTCAGCCTGGAGAAGAGAAGGCTCCAGGGAGACCTTATTGCAGCCTTCCAGTACCTGAAAGGGGCTACAAGGAAGCTGGGGGGGACTATACAAGGGCCTGTAGTGACAGGACAAGGGGTAATGGGTTTAAATTGAAAGTGGGGAGATTTAGATTGGATATATGGAGAGCGTGGTGAGGCACTGAAACAAGTTGCCCAGAGAAGCTGTAGAGGCCCCATCCCTGGAAGTGTTCAAGGCCAGGCTGGATGAGGCTTTGAGCAACCTGGTCTAGTGGAAAGTGTCCCTGCCCATGGCAGGGGGGTGGAACTGGATGGTCTTTAAGGTCCCTTCCAACCCAAACCGTTCTCTGATTCTATGATTTCATATATATATATATATACATGTACATATATATATATACACACACACACACGCATACCCCTATATATATATACAATAACTCATTTTTTAGAAGTATGTTAAAAGGGGTGGTTAAGAGAAGGTGGGTCCAGTGTTACATTTTTATGGATTTACAGCATCTTACATTGATATGACAGGAGGAGGGGGCATCTGACCTCATTTAACTCTGTAGTCATGTTGAGGTCGCCTACAGTCTAGGCACAGGCTCAAAGAATTAGCTATTCAGTTTGCCTGGTGAGAAACTCAGCAGGGATAGGTATGTCTGTGTAGGAGGTGATTAGGGACTTCTGAGATACAGCCTGGAGTACAAAAGAGCAATGTTTGGTACATGTAAAAATGTAAACACAGCCTGATAGTCTTATGGATCTGCAGTTCCTGTCCCTCTAGCAAAACTGACAAATTACCAAGCAAGGATGTTTCAAATACTAATTTTCATGGTTATATACTCTTGATGATTTTTGTTAGTCATAGTGAAGAGTAAGTGTACAGAGTTGATGAATGTAGCTTCTCATTGAAGGAAAGAGTTTGACAGTGATAGAACTAATCCATGCCCTGCAGACAAACATTCAATTGTTAACTAATTATGAGTTACATAACTATGTAAAAGCAACTAGTTAGGTAAAGAGCAGGGACTAGAACTGGGCTAAAAGCTTTGATTACAAAGAGCATTTTGGTTTTTATTCTCAGCTCTGCGAACACTGTATTTCCTTAATACAGTGAATATAAATGCTTCCATATGTTACTTGCAGGGATGTTCTTGAAGTTTACTTGCTACTTCCCTTGCTTCCTGTGCTTATCTCTTGCACCCTTGGTTCTAGCAGCTTATTTTACATTTATGTTCACTGTAGCCTAGGGTTGTATGGTCTTGATTAACTTCAACTTCCAGTGACTCCAACGGAGTAGAAGATGTGCTTAACACTTACAAAATCCTTGATATTTTGCAATATAATTCCTGCCCCTCTCCACAAATGGTTTTCTTGTCTTTTTTTGTTTTTTTCTACTCTCAAGTTATTTTCTCTCCGAGTACAGGGCATGTCTGCTGTCACATATGCATTGTCTCCCAGGTTTCTCCTTTCATTTCCAATAACCTTTGCTGCTTTCTTACAGGGAAACCTGAGAGCAGAAGTCTAAAATGGTTTCTTTTATTGTCTTAGATTCTTTGGGAAGAAGAGAGAAAGGAAAAAGAGTTGACCAAGAAACAGTCATTTGTAGATCTTGGATGTGGAAATGGTCTACTGGTTCATATTCTAAACAATGAAGGGGTAAATAGAGTGCTTTTTTAAATAATAATTAGAGGTAATCAATATTTTTGCTATATTTTCCTTTTACCTGGCATGCACATAGCCCAAATTCAGTTAATTCATGTTGCTAAAGTAGGATTTTGTCCTACTTTTTTTTTTGGGGGGTGCGGGGG